TAATGTTGACTTAAGGGAGGGGTAGGTGGTCAGTTACCGAGAAACTTCAATAGATCGGAACCTTGTTAAAAATGAAAATGAAAAACCATGAAAATATACCTGCAATAATACAGCCTAAAACAACAAGAACAACAGCAGTAACAACCATAATGGAAGGTTTCTTCTTTAGCATACAACAGGCAAAGAGCAAGCTTGACAAAGGAAGGAGTCTTCTCAAGACATTGTACCTGAAAATTTGAGCATTATCAATATTTGAGTCACTATCTGGCAATGATCCAGATCCGGCAATGATTTAAATCTTGAATTCCAAATTTTGCTTGCAATATTGGACCCTGGGTGCCAGAGAACTGTCAACTTCCAAACTGGAAGATTTTTTTTCCTTCAGCCAACCCCAAAGTATCTCGCCACATGCGGGAAAAAACCTACAGGACTTATGCTAGGTCAACTGAGCACAAAAAATTACTTATGCAGGAGGAAAATAAGCTTTTTCTGCCGACCAAAACCACAAATAGTCCCTCATTGTTGCCAGGGATAATTGAGTGGGTAAAATTCACGAGTGTCCATGATAACCTCCTTTGGAAATGAAAATGAGCACAGGTGAAAGTTGCTACCTAAGATGGGGCCTGTTTCTCAAAAGTCCTGGTAACTGTTTGGGCCCGGAAAGCTGTTTTGCATTTGCCATCTTTGCATTCAACATCCAAGTTTTAACAATTTTGAAAATGATATAATGAAACTATCAGTTAACAAAGCAAAATTGACTGGTTTGTGCATTAGGAATGTGCTGATATTCAAGAGGTTTTGATTTTAAAATTTGTCCCCTGAAAAGTTTGTGGTCCTTTCAAGAAACAGGTCCCTGCAGGGCAGAGGGTGAGACATGGCTCACTAAAATCTTGCAAAAAGTTGCTCAATTCATAGTATGATAATAAAATTATACAATAAATTGTTTGAAAATAATATTTTTTCATACATACATAGGTATGGATAAATCATCAAGGGCCCTTAAAGCCAAAGTGGTATGAAGGGCAAAACATATTGAAGGGAAAAAAAACATCCTTCCTCTGTTGAAAAAAAGTACATAAATTAACATAAATTAAAACCAAACTTGATTACTAATGCTAAATAATTCTGACCTCTTGTCATTGAAGTTAAATTTCTTTGCCACCATATCTCAAAAGCTAAAGCTATTTATTAACTCTTCCCATTACCATAAATTTTACATAATTTGTTTTTTTGAAAGGCCCAGGCACTTAACACATAAAGTTTTATCTAAAAGAGGGGGCGAGGGTGGGAGTGGGGGTGGAGATGGGGGGTGTAAAGGCACTTACTCAGAGGGGATGCTTTTATCAAGGGGTTGTCATTTGTTGATGTTTTCCTTCAATGAATGGAAACTATAATTTGGAAGATAATGCCAATATAAAAGAGCTAGTCTCCTCCACACCTGCTCGGGCCAGAGTCACACAATGCTGCCAGTCCCCTCGCAACTGGTTCAAATCGATGTACATTTCTTTTCCAGAATCGGTCAATCAAAGTGCAACTTTCATTTTCATGCAGCAAATAGCAGCTGCGTGGTGATGGGGAGCATTGCATGACATCTGGTTTGAGCAGCTGTGAAGGAGACTAATATGAAGAGAATTAAACCTTCAATGGGGTACTCTCTTCTTTGGAGTGCAAACAGCAAGAACAGCCTGAAAGTCGCCTCATTTGTACACCACCACCCAAAAATGTATACTGGTAACCTCCCCCTTTCACTGGGCAAAGTAGTACCTTTCCAATGTGTATTTTAGCATGCTAGAAAATCCCAGTAGCCTTCCTCCTTCAAGAATGACAGATGTGACGACAACTTGTGCCAACATCATAACATTAGGAAAGTGGTAAGAATATGAGGTGAGAACAATCTGAGGAACATACAAATGTTTTAAAAAAAGTTAACACAAATTTATCAGTATGGTGCTAAAAGGTGTTAATTGGGTCAACCCTCCAGCACAAAATAACAATTTTTTGCAGTTGTAACCCCATTATAAAATTTAAGTAATAAAATAAAATTTATCATATATAAAGGAAGATAAAAACACAGAGCAAGCCTCAAGGCCCCAAACTAATAACCATTGTTGCTTGTGGTTTAGTTTTCTCCTGCCTGATTGGCTTGGAACAGAATATTACATTCCAGAGGTATTACTGGTGTTCAAAGTATTCTGAGTTTCACAGTTTTTGGTTGCTTATTCATTATATCTCTAAATGACATTCAGGGGCCAAGAGATGTCTGAGAAAAATTAATATTCTCCTTATTTAAAGTGATGTTACACGAGACGATTCGGAACGGCAATTTTTAGTGCAACACAGTGTGGCAACATTGTTCCGACATTGTTTCGAATGGACACAACATTGTTCCAACATTGCAACGTTGTGTTGCGCTTGGTTGCGCGAAACGTCCCAAGCGGCGAAGAGAAACGGATGTTTTCGTAGGCTATAAGCATCCTAGCTAGTGCACACTGAATCAGGTCAAAAAAGAGCTTTACCCCTCAAACACAATTTTAACTTTCAAAAAAATGTTTTCTAGTTTTGCTTCTTTTAATTTATTTAAGCTTATATAGAACTAATTAGAACGAATGATCGCAGTTCTTCAAGCTTTAATTTGTAAGTAATAAAGGACTGTGAGGGCCGGTTGTGCTAATTATTAATATGCGATCGTGGTTAATACAGGTCTCTCTTAGTAGCTTACCTTATTTACAAAGGACATTGATCCAGAAACTAGTCCATAGAACAACGCCGCCAAAATTCCCGGACCAAAAGCTTTGGTGAAGTAAAGATCTTCGAATGCGGCGGCCAGGTCGTAAAATATTCGCCGGCGTTTGCCATTTCGCGGGACAGTCATCACCTAAACCGTTCAAAAAAACACTTGTGTGTACCTTGTTGAATATGAAAGTTGCTCTTCTTTTCATGCCTTGTTCTGTGAAAGATTCATGCAGGCATGCGGATTTTTCTGGAAACAGAACGTGGGTGAATCAGTGATCTTCGAACACAGCATGAAAATACCGATATTCGAACAGAGGATTGCTAGGAACTGAGTACGAACGGAGTAGCCATGACAACGATTAGTGTCGGTCAAAACACGTCTATTTCTTTTCGCTTTCTTTTTTTCTTTCTAAAAATTTGCAAAATGATAAGGAGGCTTGCCTCTTAAGTTTTCTTAATTTTGCTGAAACAGCTGGAAACATGTCATGATTTAAAAATTCATAAGATTTGAAAATAAAAATCTGAACGTCCGTAATAATAAAACGTCAAAACTTTCATTTTCAATGCAGGTCTGTAGAGAGAAGTAAAGGAAGCCAGAGAAAGCAATGGGAAAGATATAAATACGACGTCATGATTTTAAGTTAGAGACCAGCAACAGACAGAGAACGTATCCTATGAGGGATGATAAAACGAAATATTTATGGCATGACTTCCAGTGACCAATAGTTGGAATAATTGCCTCCCTCTGATAATCGTCTTCCCTCGAATAATTGGTCCCTTTATGAGTGAAAAAAAAAAAACATATATATATATATATATATATATACATGTATACACCCAGAATACAAGTATATATATAGACCAGTAGGTGAACTACTCAAATCCTGAGCGCATGGGTGTTTAATACAAACCTGTTTTGTAGGCCACCGAAAAGGTGACCCACTCTTCAGTTAAACTCCATTATAACACCGCTATATATATCAACTACACCCGGCTATTATTCAATGAAATCTGGTCATTAATAAATGATATATTTTAAAAACAAATTGTACTCTCAAAATTAGGTGTCAGACTTGTTTCGTACTCTAGTTCGAAGATTAGGAGTAACAGATGGAGGGTGAACCGGCGATGAACAAGATCGCGCGATACGAAGGACTGTACTTGCAGGAATATTGCAGGTCGTCAAGACGTCACAAGTTACTTCCGTACAGGTTGTCAAAATGACAATCACTACGATAGCCTGCACGGAACAATGGTTATTTTTTCGCTTTTTTTTTTCTGGCAAGTGGAGACAAAAGAGAGGCGAGCGTGTTGCGCAAGACACACCCGACCCGGGAAAACACGAACAAATGATCATGCCTGTACGTGAACGCTCACTAATGTTCGTCTTCTTCACGCCGGAAAGCTACAAGCCAGCGTTATTTTTCTTTCTTTATTTTTTTGCATTTCATTTTAGTTTCCCTGGAACCCAATTATCCTCAAAAGAATTTCCTCATTATAGTAAGATCATTTGCATGATTCTAACCATGCAGTACCACCGAAGTTTTCGGAAAGGCTAAATGTCTTCATGCATGGAAAACGTTAAAACACAAACAAATTTTCTGATTTTCACGAGGATCATCAGCGATCGATGCTTAAAACTAAAACAATGTACTCTATATAACTACTAGCACAATTGACTCTTACTTTGATCAAACAATTTTTATCTCAAGTTTGAATGCGCATGCTTAATTTCCTGTGCAAGTTTCATAAAAATGACACATAATACTCTGGTTAGGTTTTGAAACCTCAATACGATGTTAATTATCTTTCACTTGCCGATTTAAAGGTGTGTTCGACACGGAAAAGACCATCAACCTAAATATCAAGTTAAACATTGCTGGAAAATTTACTTTAATAAACTGATCAAACGTCCAAGAGGAACCTACCTTCCGTTTTACGCTTGAAAATAATGATTTTTTAGCTTTTGAATCCCTTTTGCTAATGCTCAATAACACTCACTCTGCAAATGACCGGTACTGGTAAATCAACAGGAAATTGAGGCGTTTGAAAGTTGTAATGGTGCTCATCTTCTTTGAATATTGTTCAGCATCCTCCCTTTCACAGAATGTAAATCAATCAATATTAACCAGATTGTTTAAATATAGGATGTAACTGTGTTTTTATTTACATTGCAGTTTAACGTGGCAGAAATTGTAAACTCTTATCACCGGTTGCCAATTGTTCCCTTTTGCTGTGGCATTTCATTGGCTTAAAATCACCAGGGTTAACAAATTTGTCGCTGGAAATTTTCGCACGGATCTACCTGATCTACGGCCTGGGGCCCGTTTCTCGAAAGTCCCGATAATTAACGGGCCCTTAAAGCTGTTGTTGTTTACATGCAAGGCAAAGGTTTCAATAGTTTTGCATCTAACATGATAAAACTATCAGTTAATGAAACAAAATGGAGTAGTTTGCTAGCCAGGACCCGCGCTCTTATTCTTTATATTTCGATTTGAAAATTTAATTTCGGGCCCGAAACGTTACCGGGGCTTTCGAGAAACGGGCCCCAGGGGCCGGGCCCGTTAATTATCGGGATTTTCGAGAAACGGGCCCCTGGTCCCTTGGTCCCTCGGTCCCCAGAGGTTCTTTCTCTGGTTTCTAGTTCCTCTCCTGGTCCAAGATAGACTGCTTGCAGTCCGCCTTTTCTCTTAAAATCTGTCTAGTTCTTACCTCATCCAGCGCGATAGCAAATTACAATAGGGTGATTAATTGAATTACCTTGACAGCTTCGTTGTCCCTAGACAAAGCAAAAGAGTCAGCAGTCTCTTATTTTTTCTTCTCGGGCTTACGCCCTCGTTTCTCGCGGCTCGCGGCTTTTGCCGCTCGCGTGCTTAGGTTTCGTGTGCAGTTACTTTGCAAAGAAAAATAAGAGACTGCTCGCAGTCTAGGTCCAACAGGTCTTTATTATTTGTATTTCTATGATCATCTAAGCTAAATTAAGTGCTTTTTAAATCGACAGGAATTGTAAATAGTGTTTTGAATGAATAGTTTTTCTTTTTTTCAAGTGAATTAATTGTAAATAGGATTTTAATAGTTAGGATTGTTGTCAATAAAACTTTTTCGTTATTAAAATTTCTATCATCACCATCATCATCATCATCATCATCATCACCACCATTATTGTTATTATTATTAGGAGCCGATTTACATTTAATATTTGCATGCGCCAGGAGCCCATCAAATGGAGCCTCCATCTCCCATACAAGCCCTTGGAGAGTTGGGAAAGGGCTCATCTAAATATTAATCTTGCCAAGGGTCCCCTCTGAAGCGCGCGGCTGCCACCCTTCTCGGTTAGTGAACGACGAAATGACACTGCTATTGTACTTCATCAAACAGCAGGAAATTCAGTGTTGACAGGCCAAACACAATCATCATAAGCTAGTGAAACGTGACTTTAGCGTTTTCATCCCTCAGAGATTTTCTTTTTTTTCTTTCTAGCGGGTAGATTATACTGTGGAGAGTTTTAAACTCTGACTATGTTTATCTTAATTTTGGTTGCTTGTCTCACATTAAGAGGCCATGAAGATGGTCTGTTACATGCATAATGATTAACTACTAACTGCAGTCTGTAGTTCTGACAGGATTCTTTTTGCGCATATAAATATTTACATTTTTGAATGTTTCTCTCATTCACATTCAATGACCTAAAATTTTTATGTTGTCAAAAAGCTTCCTAGGTGGCGGCTTTCTTTATTTTTATGATTTCATTTCTTTCATTTCATTCTTCCGCCTTTTCAAATTTCAGAGATATTCCTAGAGGGGGATAGAAACAATGTCAATTGGATCAAACCCTATCACGACGGCGCGAAACTGTCTCTGGTCATTGCCCATTTCAAATTTCCTCCTGTACGGCTGTAAATTTGTTTTATTGGAGGGAGTGTCTTTAAACGGGTGCTTTCTAAGAGGAAAATGGATCTGACTAAAGTCCTCGAAGCTACGGTTTCTCCAGGTAAAGTTGCTGTATGATTTGACTGATCGGTTGTGACAGGGAAAATTTGTGCGGAGTAAAGCACATGGTCGTCATTGCATGATATGTTTCAAATTTCGCTTACATTTGAATGTTAATATTGATGTTTATTAAATCGTGTAGATCAAAATGAACTTCAAAGCGCTCAACGTTATCTGGAAGAAGCTGCCCAAGGAAATTTGGTAAGAATAGTTAGGCTTAGGTAGCCGTTTAACAGTGGAAAGCTTTCGGTTTATTTTGCGCGCCACCCGGTAGTGGAAGTTGGTTAAGTTTTACGTTCCATTCACTTACTCCACAATGTACAAGTTTCACCAACGGAATTTGTACTTTTCATGGCCTTTAAATTGAAATTTACTCGTTGTCTCATGCGTGTCTTTCGTTTCGACAGCCTCAGTTTTTAGCGGCGTTAGTGAACGAATTAGCTGATGGAGGCAAGTCTCAAGTTGCACGAATGGCTGCGGGGTTACAGCTTAAAAATCAGCTCACATCGAAAGATCCCACTGTCCGAATGCAGTACCAACAACGATGGATCTCCCTATCTGACGAGTTAAAAAATCACGTTAAAACGAGGGTAAGAGACAAAATGAGGCTCGTATTGTTGATATTTTGCGATATTCTAAAACAAAACAATTGGTTCCTTGCAGGTTATTCAAACACTAGGAACAGAGAAAGCAAGGCCCGCCATTGCTCCTCAGGTAATCACAAGTTTCCGTTCAGTAGGATCATTACTGTACGAAACTAAGCGAAAAACAACCTTTCCTCTCCAAAGTTTTTAAGGACCTGGGAAGTTGTTTTTAATGGTGGTGTTTTTAGATCTTTTGCATACCAGCACTCGTTGTCTGGGGTACATCAGCTTACGAGAAAACCTTTAAAAATAAGCTTTTCTGCCCGTGAACTAGGGATCCACGACTTAGGTGTAATTTATACTGTATCAGAGCTTTTAAGGGTAAAGGCGTGCATTTCAGGAGTATTATTTGCAGTAAAAACCATCTGCAAGTTCCTGCTGGAGTTATAGTTCTTACAAGTGTTAGATTGGATCAAGGCATGAAGAGAAGAAAAAATTAAATGACCCAGCTCATTACACAGTGTCTTAGCTAAGGAGAACAAAATGTGAATTTGTATTTATTTAACGCTGCTGTCAACAACTGCACTTCATAGTTAATACAGCTGAAACAGGGAACAGTGCGAACATGTGTGTTCGCATTTGTTGGACTTTAAACCTGTGGGTCAGTGGATCCATTAATGGTCTGCCACTGCTTCATAAGTACTACCCGATTAACTAGTGGTCATAACTGAGCCCACTGTACCAAGCATACAGCTACTAGGCCTGGCTTCAAAAACTGTTTTCAAGTGGTTCGCATGTTCGACGAAGATCCTGCTTGATTCATGCAGAAATATATTTCAAGTATACCAAAACTGGGCAAGGGAAAGAAAGGCTTTTGTGGCAGGGTGGAGGGTGGAACCTGCCAGTCTCATAAATGTGTACACTTACCCAACTGTGAAAATTCTGGGCATCTAGTATTGGCTATGGAGTGCCTACACCCGTGATGTGAAAGGTCTTATTTCAGTGTTCTCCTTATCAGGTAGTAACTGTTAAAATTTTCTGCCTGAAGCAACACTTCTTACGGCCTGCAACTGCTTGAAGGTTTACTAAAATTAAACAAGTAGCTTTAAAAAATACGCAAGTTGTGATCTGATCCAATCAAGGAAATGAATGAATGTATGGAAAAGTACTAAAGTATACACAGCTTTTCTGTTTTTATGGGCGATGCACTTTGAAAAGAGAACATTCAAGACAGAGTGAAATTATTGAAATGAAACATTTTAAATTGTTGTTTAAAGAGAACAACGGCCAATTTGCATAAAATAGGTCTTAAAATGGGGGAATGACATTTCAGAGAACATAGCTCTTAAATTTCCCAGTGAGGGCAGGGCCATGTCTCTCACTTCTCTACACCTCCCCCCCTCGCAGGAAAGTGTGCTTTTGACGTATATTTTCTGCCTTACCAGTCATGATGGATCTAAATTTTCAGTGAGAATGCTGCTTTTTTTTAAAAATAATTTATTTTATCTTGTTTCATATTTTTTGCAAAAAGTGTATAGCGGCTATTGCTTGTGCTGAGATACCTAACAGACAGTGGTTGGAAGTGGTTGATATTCTACAAAACATTGCAGTGCAACCGACCAGCGCAGATTCACTAAGAGAGCAAGCACTGGAAGCAATTGGCTATCTCTGTCAAGATATTGTGAGTACCTTATTCATTAACTGTCAGCCCTTTAAACCCTCGTTGTTACAAATGCAGGTACCCTTCCAAAGAAATTGATTAATAGAGTATTACAGGAAAGTGGTGATGTTGAAATTTTTAGGAAGGCCTCTGATCAGAATTTTACTCTACGTGGTACTGTATCAGTGATTGATTATTACCAAAAACTTTTCTTGCATTCCGCTTGTCACATTATTGTTTGAAAAAGACCGATACTGACACATTTTATACATTGTAAATAGATGAGGAAAATGTGCATTGTAACTTTCTAATCTTTCACCTATTTTTAATATAGGTTATTTGTAAATGATGATGTGAATTTTTGTCTTTAGATGATGAAAGATCATTTTCACATCATGTTACAGTGGCCATGTTAGTGTACAAAGCATTTAAACAGCGGCCATGTTGATACTGTACCAAAATATCCTGTGGGGATTGAACTCTTCTCAAGCAAATACTTTTTGGTTCCAAAAAATTTACATAGCCACTCCATGATCACATGAGTGAAAACAATCTTTTAAAGACATAGTCATCATCATTATTAGTTATTGTTATAGTTATTGGCATCATCATCATCATCATCCAGAGTTTGTACGCTTCTTGACAGTCCTTGAAAATTGCAGTCTTTGCCGGAAAGTCCTTGAAGTTTGGTGCTAATGTTATCCAAACAAAAGCAAAGGAGCAACCACAGAAATATTTTCAGGATAAAATTGCTCATGTTGTGGAAGAACTAAAAGAGACAGTAGACTCAAGGCTTCGCACTGAATGGAGTCCTTGAAAAATGGGAAATGTGTCCTTGAAAGTCCTTTCAAAGTCCTTGAATGTTTTGTTTGAAAAAGGGTACGAACGCTGGTTGTCATCATCATTATCATAATTATTATTTACCTTTTAACATGTTTCCTGGTTTTTTTTCCATGACACTAACAAGTAAGGAGGAGGTCACTGAAGAGACAAAAATGTTAAAAAAACAATGAAACATTTTAATTTCTCCTTTATCTTGGACTTGCATATAGATTATACCCTTAAGCTGTAGCTTAAATTGAAAATCTCAAGTGAAAACAGCAAATAAGTTAAATTTACAATGTCTTCAGGAATTACAGTGCAACTACTATAACTGGGGCCACCTAGAAAAAGTTGACCAAAAGTATTACAGGAAAATAACAATACAGTCAGAAAATTTGTTGTGAGCCAAACAGCAGCTTCTAAAAAAACAATAAGTTACTTGATGCAAAAAAATTAAATATTGATTGCAAGCGTTTATCAGGAAAGCAAAATGTTTCAGCAGACAATGTTTTTCTACTCTAAACTTTGCGTACAACACCCATGAGACATATTTTTTTATCATTACCAGTAATTTCTTTGGTAATATTGCCGCGCTTTACAATAACATGTGAACTCAAGTCAAAAATATAACTTTCTTGTACATTTTTTTTCTCCGTCACCCACTCTAACGGACCTCTCGGAAAACACGTGCTTTCTTCAGCAGGTTCAAAAGGTCTCGTCTGTATGTTGTAATTGGTTGATTTTGATCCATGTTGTTTATTTTGTTTTGTGGTAAGTATGACTGACAACCAACTTACTCTCAATGTATTATTATTTTCCTGTAATCCAATTGGTCAACTTTGTCTAGGTTGCCCCAACTGAGTAGTCACACTGTAAGTGCTTTAATGGGCTTTCAGCAGCTTGACATTATGTTGAAATGCTGATGTTTGTGGAGTGTTCTGATTGTAGTTCTTTCCCTTTTGAACTGTCTTCTTTAGGAACCAGAGCACTTAGTTGATCAGTCACATAAAATTTTGACAGCAATTGTGTCAGGAATGAAAAATGAAGAGCCAAAGTAAGTGTAGATCATTTTGTTATTTTAATTGTTGGGCGGGATTAGGTAACCTTCTCTATAAAATATATACCAGTAACTTGAAATGATCTGGGTCCTTGTAAAGTACGCGAGTTAAACACTTTTGCTTCAGTAGGCGAAAAAAAGAAAAAACAAATGCACAAACACTGCTCTTAATTATTATGCATTGGGGAAAACCAAAGATTAATTTGTTATTATGAACTTGGTTTAACTGTTATGTACAATTTTTACTCTCAGCCTCCAGATCAGAATAGCAGCCACCAATGCCCTTTTAAACTCCCTGGAATTTTCAAAGCAGAATTTTGAAAGAGAGGTAATTTGGCTTTTTGTTTTCTTCTACTTTATTGTTATCTTGGTTAATTTTCCATTTTCTGTTTTAATCATCTTTCAGGGAGAACGTAATTTCATCATGCAGGTAGTTTGTCAAGCAAGTGTAGCAGATGATACCCAGGTAATTGTTTTTGGCATCCTCATTTGAAACAATAATTGTTCTTGAGTGCTTGCCATTTCTATGGAAATTTTGGTGAAGATTATCTGACAAAAGGTACTGTTTTTACAAATTTTTAGTCATGCCGGTTCAGTGATTATGTAACCAGACAGTTAATCTGAAGACAGACTCCAAAACTCTGTGTTACAGTACACTGAAATTAAAATATAGTGCTTTATTTTAAAGCACGACAAAGACTAAAAGAAATATGTATTGGCAAACAACAACCATAATAACTGCCACAGAAATTACACAAACAGGTGGTTATTTCTACAAATACACATTCAGATTGATTGATCGATCTTTGCGTCATACTGGACCCCCATGCCATAACTTATTTTGCTTCTTTGGGGATTTTTTATGTGCGAGGAATGCAGGACACAGAGGTAACAAAATCACTGCTACTTCAGACTTAGCAAATAATGCTTTAGCTCAAGTTTGTAGAAGTCTAACACTTATAGTCTTGCTTCTTCACATATACCACTATGATGCATCATAATTTTTGTTTGATGATCATTTCCAAATTTAAGCTCCAGGAACATATTTTTAAATTAGGCTTTTAAAGTGTGGTGTTTTTATGTCAAATTTGGGTAGCTTATAAATAGAGGGGCATATTTTCAGAATTTTATGATATTTGGTACTTTCTGGGTTTCTCTGACCATCAGAACACATTTTGATTTGTTCATGTCCAATTCATGGTTCTCTGGACTAACTTGTTCGATTTTCCTCATTTTTTTTTTGTAGCTGAAGGTTGCAGGCTTGCAAAATATTGTGAAGATAATGTCTTTGTATTACCAGCATATGAAGGCGTACATGGGTAATGCATTGTTTCCAGTAAGTTTTTGTTAATTCCCACGTTAGAAAGTGTTTTTTAGAAAATAGGCTGTTTGCGAGTTTCCCTAATTAAAGCCTCTGTTTTAAAGCGAGTCTAAGTGTGAAGACGTTGAAATGAAAATCATATCTCATTTTCATGCAAATAAGGCCCTGTTTACAAGAAGGGAGGGTAACACTGGTGTTAGGGTTACCCTTGCAACAGGGTTACCCTGGCGCTTGCACACTTCTTCTTTTTTTACATGAAGTGTTTACAAGGTAGAAGGGTTACCCTAATGCTAGTGTAACTGTACCTACCTGGTAAATGCTCTGCTAGGAATAACTCGCCTACCCAGGAGAACTTTCCGCTGTCATGCATGACCAGTAATCTTGACAATTTGAACGGAATATCCAATTTCTGAGCTAAACTATAAACATATGGAAAACTGCCCACCTACCCCTACCCTAAGCCAACATTATCTCTCACTTCTCACTCAGGACAAAATGGTGGCCTAGGGGAGGGGTAGGGGGGCAGTTTCCAAGAAACCTAAATTGATCCCAATGAAAATATTTTCACATTTTTTATTGAATTTCATGTGGTTTCCATAAAGATTATCTAGTTTTATTTGGATGTGACAAAGAATATCCCACATGGTGAAACACATTAGTAAAGCTGGTAGAGTTGACCCGGGTTATAGGGCAACCCTAACTGTGAAAGTTGTTTGTAAACTAGAGCTAACTTTAACCCACTTGCAAGGGTAAGTCTAGTGCAAGGGCGGGGTGTTCATTAGGCATCAGAGATTGGAGAATTTTCCTTTTACCATGCAGAATTCTCTGGCTACGTTCGGTAGCCTCTGACTATTTTTTATTCAGGTGTGGAGCCGCTTTCAAAATATTCTCCTGTAACATTACACCTTTCTCCTGCTACTTGAATTCGTAATGAAAACCCTGCAAGGGTAAGTCTCTGGAGTATCCTTTGGCATCCAGAAGCAGCCCCTACGTTAAATAATGCCCACGCAATCTGTACAATTTTCATTTTGCCCTGTTAGATTTGTATGGAGGCAATGAAATCTGATGTCGATGAGGTTGTTCTCCAAGGAATTGAGTTTTGGTCTACAATTTGTGATGAAGAAATGGACCTAGCTATTGAAGCTGCAGAGGTAATAAGTGATTGATACCCAAGACGTTTACACCTGTCCATTAATTAAGCTTCTGTGTGTTGCTGCGCATGGTGGAGTGTATTAGGTTTCTATTTTGTTTTTGAAATCTGTTACTGGTTAATCATTTTGATCCAGGAGAAGAATTTTGAATAATTGAAAACATACTTTTTTCGATGGTCTTCCTAAATTAATCCCAGGGCCAAAAAAACTTTCACCAAGGGTTTATGGGTCATTGGAAATCTGGAAAGTCGTGAAATTTAAGAGTTTCATTTTCTAGGTCTGGAAAACCATAGAAGTTTATTTTCAGTCATGGAAAGTTATGGAAAATTGAAGTCATGTTTGGTAGATTTAGTTACTGCAAATGTCAAAGCAAGGACAAAATAAGATAGAGACAAGTAATTGAACACTGCAAACAGCCCTTGCTTTGGTGGACAGCAGTGTTTGAGTTTGTTGAGCAGAGGTAAAGTGAGAGTTAAGAACAGAATTCCCTTCAGCGAGATAGCAAAATCCACTAGCCCTAGGCTTGCAGACACTATTTTCTTTGCAGGATGGGATCAGCCCACCCTGTCACCACACTTCTACTGATTTGGCTCTTATGGATGAGAAATAACTCACACTGCCATCTGTTTAAAGAGTTGGTGGGGGACATAGACCCCACTTGTGTGGTCGTAGTCTTAAACATCTATGTGTGTGTGTTGCTTGTAACAGGCTTGTATCCGCTTAATCGAGGCTACATGCCCTTATGATAAAATTGATTATATATCACCTCTCTATCAAATAAACAATGATGTTGATACCTTTTTACATGAAATTTTCGCAACACTTAAATTTTGCCATTTTGCGAAATTTTTGTACTTTGAATCACTTTAATTTCATGATCTTTAGTAAGACACTATTTATTTAACTTATCCTTGAAGCAAATAGAACAACTTCATTTACAAGAACGTTTTATTTTGATCAGGCAGCTGAATCTAACAGGAAGCCAGAGCAGTCCAGCATGTTTTATGCTAAAGGAGCTTTGGAATTTATAATTCCATATTTGATAGATTGCCTCATGAAACAGGTTAGATTAAACTCCACAACTCCATTTTGTAAGAACTAATTATTTTTAAGGATTACAATGATCTGTGACATAAATCCCATTTAAAGGAAAATATAAAACTCTTAAGGTACCATCGTTACATTTTTATCAAATATCTTTTGTCTCCGACTCCTAATACCCATACCATAATCAAACAATTGGTTCGAGTTGTTATTCAAAACAATAATTTGAGAAAAGTTTCACCAATAAAAAGTGTGAATGTTTCACATTTGTTGCGATATTATGACCGTTAATTCAAAGGGCCCATGTATGGGACACTTTTTAAGCTACCCGAAAGTAGCAACCTCCTAATGACCCTCCCGAAAGTGGCAAAGGAAAAGGGTGCTAAATACACGTTCGTATTTTAAACGAGTTTTTTAGCTCCTCGACGTAACATGTCAAACTAAATGATTGATTGGTTGATTGATTGAAATTAACTAGGTCGTTACTTAACCCTTTAAGTCCCAAAAGTGACCAACATAAATTTTCTCCTAACAATATCCATACACTGTCAAGAGATAAAGTTAAGAGAATTAATAAAATGATCACCATAGAGAAAATTCCATGATCTTTTATCAAATTCTCTCAACTAATTCTTAAAGGAGATGTCTGGAGATCAGTTTGGAGAATTTGTATGTGGATATTGGGGCTTAAAGGGTGAATTGTTTTGACCGATCATTTCAGGAGGAATTTGATGATGAAGATGACTGGAATCCTTGTAAAGCTGGTGGTGTTTGTCTTATGCTGCTAGCCCAGTGCACTGAACATCACATCGTTCCTCATGTTTTGTCATTCATTAAAGAAAACATCAAAAACCCTGACTGGAAAAGAAGAGATGCTGCTGTAATGACATTAGGTGGGTTCATGTTATTTGGTTTTGAGGCTGGGAGAGGTAAATGCAGCCAAACTCAAGCATAACAGGTCAAAGGGTAACCGTAAACTGCCAGTATTATTGAGCAAGGTGTGCCAAAACTTATGTCCGATTGTACAGGACACATAGAAATTTAGTTCGGACATGAAAAACTTTAACTTGACTTGTCCATGGGAAAAGCACATTTTTTAGTAGAGAAAATACCGAAACAGTCGAAAATTGACTTCAAATCTTATAGTTTAAAAGCAAACCTCATACTTGACAAAATAAGGTGAAATATTCCTTTTAACTTCGCCATTCCATGGCGATTTCATTTGTTTTTATGAGCTCCATTTCAGGTTTAAGTCAAAAATAATTTACAAGGTCTCAAGGATAATTGGCCAGAGTGGAAAATACCGTAATATTCTTTAAAATGCCGTTTGTGTGGTGCCTCATGTAAACCTTACATAGGCAGTATTTTTTTTTTCACCACGTTAAGAACTTCCTGGACTGGGGTTTATAGACGTTCTTGAATGCTGACTCCACTCTAACTCAGACAATTTTATCTTGATAGATTCAACGTTTCGTATGAATCATCCCTGGAATTCTAGACTACTGTCTCTTGGCATTAAGAACATCAACAAAGCAATAGGTTTAATAAGCAAAACAACCACTTTGCTCATACATCATGCCTTTTAATATATTTCTTTGTCGTCACTGCATGACTGTGATGTAAAAATAACCAATTTCACGTTTACAGAGGATGTAAAGAAAGAGCGACAAATTTTTTTTCTATTTCTGAACTTGGATAGTGTTCTTAGAATTTAACTATTGGAGGGTTTACCTACATATGACACAGTAAGTGAGTTAGAATAGTATCAATGCAGATCGAAAGATTGCTATTCACTGCTGCCGTTGAGTGATGTGAGGGTAATTTCCACTCACTCCATCGCTGGTCATCGTGATTAACTAGCCAGTCATGAGGGGGTTGTACTTCATGTTTCAAGCTTTTCACAACATGGGTGATAGAGTCGTGCCTGGATGACAGTGCACTGCCATTAGTCATTCATAATTCTTGGTCCAGGGTGAGCCAAACCTATGTCCAATGGTCCGCTACAGGTACAGATTTAGTTTGGACATGTAAACTTTGACATGACTTGTCCGTGGGACAAGCACATTTTAAATAAGAAATAGTATGGAAACAGTTGAAAATTGACTTCAAATTACCAAGACATAACTCATTCCCAGGCTCAAAGCAACAGAGAAAAGAAAAAAAATCTGGGATACTAGCAAAGAATTAAGTGAATCAAGAGAAAATCTTTAAATACTCTAGTTTTGAACAAAGCAGTTTGGACAAGGACTCTTGGGTTTCGGACAACCAAATTTAATATAGTGCTTGCCCGAAGGACAAGTGGATAAGAGAATTTTTCTCTTACTCTGTTGGTCACAGCTGACATTTTAAACTAGTACTTTTAGCCTTTTGAGTGCCTTCTTGCTGCTAATTTTCTCTCATTTGAAGCGAGTGTTTGAAGAAGGGTTTCTTTTGCAGTTAATGCCCTCACTCATAGAGTCAATGCAAGATCGTAGTGTTATTGTAAGAGATTCTGTGGCGTGGACTCTTGGTCGGATATGCGAGATATTGCCACAAATAGCTATTGACCGTTTCCTTCAACCACTTGTGGACGCTTTGTTGGCTGGCCTTGATTCTGAGCCCCGCGTTGCTGCCAATGTATGCTGGGTAAGAAACTACATTTTATCTTGTAAAAATGCAGAAAAATAAACCAGGCCTTCCAGAGGTAGAAACGACAGGCAACATTGACAGTGACAATCCAATTTTTAAGTTAAGTTAAAATGACGTCTGTTCACTTTTTTAACATACTGAAGGAAATGGAATAAGAATATAAGTTTGAAATAGCATGGATTCACATTTTAATGATATGAGGAAATAATACTCTGGCTGGGTTGTGTTTTCAGGCATTCAACTCTCTTGGTGAAGCAGCATACGATGCTGCCCCAGTTCCGGACGAGGAAGAAGAACCACCAACTTATGCTCTATCCATGTGGTTTTCTCAAATATTAAGCAAGCTCCTTGAGGTCACCGTAAGGTATGTGATGGCCATCTGACATTTTTCTGAAATTTGCAGTACTACTACTACGTACTGCTGCTACTGCTTCTACTACTACTAGAGAGGCATAATGGATTTACAATGAATAGACCTTTTTACCAATACTCCGGCCATATTGAATTAATTTGATTTAAGGAGTATTATAGGATGCCCAGGGGGGCATGAGCACATTTCGTTTGTATTTTCGAGTTGTTTTCGGGACATTTTTTCTTAAAGTTTTCTTAGAATAAGATTGTAATGGGAAAAAAGTTCCTTGTGCCTTGTTCTGATGTAGTAATGATCGCCTTTTTTCGTGAGAAATATACAGTGAAAGACCACATTTCTAATAATAAACTAGAAAAAGGCGATCATTATTACCTCAAAACATGGCATAAGGATCTTTTTTCCCATTACAAGCTTTTAGAAAAAATGTCCCAAAAAGTGCTCGAAAATACAAAGGAAATGTGCTCATGCCCCCTGGGGATCCTATAATACTCCTTAAATCGAATTAATTCAATAGTTTGAGAATTTCATGTACGTATATGGGGGGGGGGGGGTGGGTGGGGAACTATAATTACCCTACTGCAGTCTTTTTTTCTTCTGTTTATAGGTTTTCACAAGATTTTAATAAAGTTGTTGATTAATTCAATTTTTTTTAAAAAAAATATTATTATTATGTAAACACCAAAATGCTAATATTCCCTAATAAGTGCACATTTATTATTTGAAGTGTAGACTTTCCTTTATGAATTTTTAAATTCATTTTTAGAAAGTTAAAAAAATATTATTCAATATCTTTGGATAGCTAACCTGCGAACGCAGACACATTTCTGGTCATCATGCCCCCTTTGGCACAATTTAATATATAAGGTGTTTTTCATCTTTTTTTGTAGACCTGAAGCTAACCAAGGAAACCTTAGAAGTGCAGCGTATGAAGCTATAATGGAATTAATAAAAAATAGTGCTAAGGTATATAAATACAGTAGAACCCCGCTAACTTGAACTCCTTAATAGAAAATGCTTTGATCTTCTACCAAATTCTCTCAACTTATTCCTTAAGGAAATGTATAAAGACCAGTTTGGAGAATTTGTAAGTGGATATTGGGGCTTAAGGAGTTAACAGGATTCTACTGTATTGAGCTTCTTTGTGTGACAATGATGCACATGGTGTGTCGTGATAATGATTGGAAGTCTTTCAATGTCTTGTTGTTTTTACCAATTTATCATGTCCTTTTTTTCTTAGGACCTCAGTGTTCAACTGAAGTCACAATGACACTCCTCTTCAATTTACAACTAGTAAGAGAAAAAGAGAAAAGAGTCCTGACAATACTTTAACATGTCTTTTGTTGCGACTAATAAGATCTTTCTGAGGTCGTTCAGGATTACTAACTACAAAGCTAACCAATCACTGATGACACAGTCTCTTTTTTCATCCTTCACTTCTTGGTCATTTTTTTATTATCATGTAATCGCTTTCACCATGATTACAATACTACAAAAGACTAGGGAAAAAAATACGTTTGAAGAAAAACGAAGGACGAAGGTGCGGGACACACAACAGAGCGAGGCTCCAAATTAAGTGTGCCCTTATTGAAAATACACAAATACTAACTATGTAAACATTAAACATTATAAAAAGTATAAAAATCCCATTTGTAAAAACGATAAGAATGAATCCCTCCCGCAGCAGTAGCAGCAGTTACCAGCTAATAGAAGATTACGTGACCTACTGCATTTGTAGTAGATCGACTTCCAGGTGTTACAGTTAGTGACGTCATAGTTTGTACGAAAAGCAGCCGAATAGCGTTGGAGTACATGAGATTTAAACTGATTAAGAGAACTAAGAGTACGAGTGGATTCAGGTAACGTATTCCAGAGTTTAGCAATACGATTAAAGTAACTAAATTGAAAGAGCTTTGTACGGCACTTGGGAATTAGTACGTCTTGATCAGAGCTATGGCGAGTGAGATGAGTGCCTTTAGGCTTGACATAATCAGCTATGGGTAAGGTGTAGTGGCCAGCGCGACACTTGAAATAGAAACTTCAATTTCTATATATTTTTTTGGCATCCTTTAAAAAGCCTCCTTCTTGGAAAGACAAGAAGTTATGATGTTTAAAGGCAGTGAATGCTGTACTTTATTTTTTGCAGAAAAATATGTCTGACAGAAGCCAATATAATGACCTTCAGTCTCTCCTATGTGCTACACTCCAGGTAAAGCCAAACTAAGTCTATCCAGCACTTGATGACCAGTTAATAGAGGTGACAACAATAGGGACTTTAAGATCCAACGACGCGACGGCGACAAGAACGTCGCTTAAAAAGTGAATATGCGTTCTTTCAGTCTTTATAGCGATTATTCCTACCCACTTACTTTATCAATTGTAGGCGAACCCTCCTGAAGCTGAATTTCAAGGGACCATAGCCAAGCTCAAAATGAGAAATAAAATTTCGTCGTTGCTTGTTTACGTCCTCCGTAAAACGCGAAATTAGGCATTTTCACGTCGCAGTCGTGCAAAAACGGGAAAGAAATGTACAAAAAAGTGTGATGCACGTGCGAAATTGCGGTTTTGCTGATTAAACCTATTGTTTTTTTGACGTTCTCGTTGTCGTCCGCGTCATTGGATCTTAAAGTCCCTATTGGGAGAACTCTCGTTGGAACAGCCAAAAGGTGGACGCTTAATAGAAGTTTAATTTCCCATTCTTTTTTACAATTATTTCAAGACTTTAAATACTGGCCGCTGAATAGATGGTGGCCGCTTAATGGTGTCATTTATTAATTGAGACCATTGTGTGGAGTTATTATGCTTGTTGGGAAAATTTAACAAAAATAATGTGACATTACAGTATTCACTAGTGGCAGAGGCTCAAAACGAGCACCTGAAGTCTTGTTCAGTTCTTTCGTAGGCTTTTGCATTCTCATTTGACGTTGCACTGTCTTAGCCCAAGACTTACTGTAACCTGTCTGCGACCGCCATGATGGAAAAGTTTCACTATATTGTAACAGGCTGAGGCCTTGATATTCTAACCCATATTTTCTTTTGTTATTCCAACAGAGTGTTCTGCGGAAAGTGAACCCCTTAGACGCATTACAGATTGCTAATCCAATTATGAATGCCCTGCTTCAGATGCTTAGTTTTGGTGATAATGTAACAGGTGGGGTCCAAGAAGATGCGCTCATGGCCATAGGCACTCTTGTGGAGGGTATGTGACTTTTGATTGTTATTATCATTATCATTGTCATTATTATCAGACGGAATGGCTACATGGATAAAAGTGCATAGTGCATCTGTTATGTCTATTGTTATCAGCAACAGTGTCTGGCTGGTTGGCTGATTTGGCTTTGTTTGTCTGCCTCTCTGTTCATTGGGCTTATTTAACAACAGAACGGGAACGTTAGTTGACGACGGGAAAGCGCGCAGAAAGGACTGTGCACGGCTTCCGATGCTCAATTTGCCGCTGTACCATTGGCCAAGCCAGTTCTTAGATTTGCGTGCGCCGTCGTCAACTGACGTTTGGGTTCTGTTGCTAAATCAGCCCATTATTAGTTACTGTAAATCTGTATTTTATAATTTCTCAAAGCAGACACTCGTTTGAGCTTTGAAGTTAAAGGTGTGTTTGAGTTTTGACAACGTTGTCATTACCTGTGTTTCTAGTTGTTGGTGAGCAGTTTGTGACATACATAGAAGCATTTAAACCATACTTATTAGAAGCACTCAAAAACAAAGCTGAATACCAGGTAATAACTTTTTGTTCCTTTCCTTTTGAAGAACAACGCCAGTAATTGCGCGTTTGCTGCCTACTGATATTCCAGGGCTACAACCAGTTGCAAAAATGTTGATACACTAAGACGAAAAACTGGCTCTTTTTGCTCAAAATCTGCTAGTCACATATCTGTGAGATAAAACACTCAACCTCCCCCCTCTCCCTCCATTCAAAGTTGTTCCTCAAGTTCTGAGCATGGTCTTGTATAGCTAGCAACTTCGACAAGGAGGAGGAGGTAGGGGTCACAAGCACACGATCAATAATAATGGACAGTCCTTTTAGGCCCAAAGAAGGTTTCAGTTGCAACTGTTTGTAGCAGTTTGTTATATGAACCTACGGTCTGATTAGCTCCCACTAGTCTCCCGTGGCTCAGTGGGAGAGCGTCTGGACTGTCATAGGTTCGACTTCCTTTTGAGTAGCCTGCGAAAAGCAGACGCATTTCCGGTCGTCGCTTCTCTCCCTCCGAAAAATAGCTATTTTTCGGAGGGAGAGAAGCGACGACCGGAAATGCGTCTGCTGTTCGCAGGCTACCTTTTGAGAGAACTCCGTTTTTTTTTCAAGTCGCCTGAATAACCGAAGCCTGTTCCAAGCGTTCAGAGAAATTGACGAGGTGGAAAAACGAGGGGATACTTAACTTGCTCCCCACTATCTGAACGCCTGAAACAGGCTAGAATAACCATTCCAACATATTGAGCCTTTCGAGTCCCCAGTCGTTGGCGATCGCTTATTTTGGGAACTTTTTTTTTTTCGATCTCATCGTGCTCATATATTTCTTCTTTATTGTTGCGCTAAAGGTTTGTGTGGCTGCTGTGGGGCTTGTGGGAGACATTGCACGAGCTTTGGGATCAAATATAGTGAGTTACAGTGATCTTTTTATGCAGATTTTACTGGAAAACCTGGCGGTAAGTTGACTCTTTCGCTAATTACCGGTCGTTTCGATACAAGTTTATTCAGTCGAGGTGTAGATAGTTTCACGCACTTGGCTTAAAGAACGTGGAAAATTCACCCCAAATGCAAACGCGTAAACTACACTTGAAGTGGTCAAAATTTTTGTGCGATTTCAATGCTGGAGTTCGTATGACTTGTTCGAAACTACGGGTTTCGCTTGGTGTTTTGCTTTTTGTGACATTTCACCTGTACGGTGTCAGGCTTTTTATGGCAGCACAAGTGATTTTCAGTTGTTACTCCCTCTCAAAGATCGTACCGGATAGGTCTTCTATTCACAAATAAAACGCCAGCTTCGGCGCGAAAGTTTGTGCCGGGGCGCCGCTGTGACACGATGCCCTTGAGAGTGAGAAACGAAAACGTTCCCCCTTCGCTCCAGCTTTCGCGCAATAACTCGATCGGAAACGCTTGCTACGCAGGCTAGCATCACGCTTGTAT